AAACTACGGATAACTATCTTGCTCAGTATCTACTCTTTGGGGATTATATGACGTCAATTACTTGCGACTGCTAAGGCAAACTACGGATAACTGTCTTGCTCAGTATCTACTCTTTGGGGGTTAATTACTGGCGAGTACTGAGGTAAAGTTCGGATAATTATCTTGTTCAGCCTCTACTTTGGGAGGTTAATTACTCCAGCACCAGGCCAGTCAGAGGAGGGTCGTCCTGGAGAACAGGGCAGCGACATACCGGAGGAAAGGTAGACTTATTAGCTTAAAGTAACTCAGAATGGATTTTACAAGTTAAATAGACTTTCTCAAAACGTTGATGGCTAGCTAACACATCGGTAGCTTAAGTTAATTGGGCCCGGGGCCAATTCGGTGTCGCTAACGTGAGTAAACTAACTGATAGCATCAAGCTAACATCTACACGCCGTGATGGAAGTGCTGACTGCATCTGAAGATGAGCTTGTTTAAATGTTTCTCTAGGAAGAGAAAAACACCTGATGAAGATGACGCTAGCCAGGTAGCATTAGCCTTTTACTGACTCATAAATGATGATGTTCAGGTAAAAAATGGTGTTCACACTGTAATCAGATGTGATGTGAGTGTAAATGATGGAACGTTAATGTTTTATGTAGAAGACCAGTAGCATCAGACAGGGAGGAGCAGTGGAGCAAAGTGGAGGAGAGCCGAGTGGAGGAGCAGGAGAGAGATGAGAGTAGAGGAGGAGAAGCTAAAGGGGGGCTCAGGCCTCAGGATGGCACCTACATGGGCTGAAAGAAACTCAAGGCTCTACCACACTGATAATGAGGAGTGTCCATGAAGCTTTGTCAGTATTTCTGTTAAATAAATAAAAAAACAAAATAATAAATAAATTCAGTGTCTTTCCATTGTGAGAGCAGGGATCAATGATGCCCTGTACTCTGTCCTGGTAGGAATGATCTGAACCAGGCTGCAGGGGATCAGCTGCAGCCTGGATGCTGCTGATCCTCTCACAGAGCCTCAGAGCTCTTCTATAGAAACACAGAAAAATGAATTGTTCTGAGCCGGGGTCCAAACTTTGCCACTGATTCTACCGCCCCATCAAGAAATGATCATTTATTGTTTGTATTTTTATTGATTAGATTAGATTTCATTTTATATTTTAATTTTAAAAAGCCATTTTCAGCTGGCCATTCAATTAATAGGCTGTAAAAGTCAAATCGCCGCCACGACTCCTGGAGAGCCTGCTGGAAAACATCCTGGAGGAAACGCTGACCTTTTAGTTTTAATTGTTGTCCTGCTGCGTTGTGGGCTTCCTGCTTTTGTGTCGTCTGTCACAACTTTGTTAATCATTGATCTTCTTCTTATTATTATTATTATTATTGTTGTTGTTGCTACCGTATGAGTTGCATTATGGTGTCAGAGCCGGAGGTAGCAGCGTGTTTCTCAGTGACATCATACAACTGTTACACAATCTGTAAAGCGAGCGGCGTCCCTTTAACACAGCGTCTCAGAGCAACAGGTGATCAGTGGACGTTGAACCTTCATTCTATCAGCGAGCCTCTCCTCTTCCGACTGAACCAGACAGTGACTCCTCCTTCACCGAGAGTTTCAGACTAAATAAAACTCAGCTCCTCTTTGTGTCTTTACCGTCCACCAGCGAAATGGCCGCCGAGCAGGAAGACCAGCAGCAGCGTGAGGAGCATCTCGGGGTCGAGCTGGACGAGGATCAGTTCTGCTGCTCGGTGTGTCTGGAGCTTCTGAAGGAGCCGGTGACCATTTATTGCGGGCACAGCTACTGCAGAGGCTGTATCGAGGGTTGCTGGGATCAGGAGCAGGAGAAGGGGGAGTTCAGCTGCCCTCAGTGCAGAGAGACCTTCATCCCCAGACCGGTTCTGAGGAGGAACAACATGCTGGCTGAGGTGAGCTCAGAGTTACAGCAGAGACGTCTGGACCTGCACTCACACGTCACTGTCAATGTCAGAACACCTGAGAACTGCCTCCACACATTGAGCCCTAATGCACATTTGCTTTTGGTGGAGTATAAAATGACTGGACAGTAGTAGTGCAAGGTTGTTTTGTGTTGGTTTGTTAACAGAAAAGTTCACAAAATACAGTAAATAAAGCACCTTACAGGTCCAGTACAAGGTCAGGATACACAACATCCCCGTGAAGTGAGAGTCAGATGCTGTGGATGCCAGTATCGGCGACTGTTCTCTGATTTCTAGGTGGTGAAGACGCTGAAGAAGACAAGCACCAAAGCCGACCGTCCTCCTCAGGCCTGCGGCGGCCCAGCAGACGTTTTCTGTGACTTCTGCAGCGGAACCAGCCGAACCAGAGCCGCCATGTCCTGCCTGACGTGCTTGGCGTCTTACTGTGCAGCCCACCTGCAGCCTCACTACAGCGTGCCCGTGTTGAAGAAGCACCAGCTGGTCTCGGCTACAGTCCCGCTGCAGGACAAGATGTGCGCCGAACACAACAAGCTGATGGAGTTCTGCTGTGAGACGGACAAGCAGCTCGTTTGCTCCATGTGCACGCTGACGAAGCACAAGTGGCACAAATTTGTCTCCGTTTCAGCACTAAAGGATAAAACCAAGGTGGGAGAGGCTACAGTGCAGCACATTCACTGCATTTTCTTATCTCTTCCTGCCTCGTTTCACAAGATTTAACCTTTAAAATCTTCCAGAACCATCTGGATTCGAGTCAAAAGAAAGTCCAGAAGGAAGTCCAGCAGAGGGAGGAGGAGCTGCAGGAGCTGAGCCGAGCTGAGGAGAGTGTCAAGGTTTGGAAAAGCAATAGTTTTGATCTTTAGCGGCTGGAGTGGAGCATTTCAGATTTACGATGTCGTACGGTTTCAGTTTCCCTTCTTGGGAAACGTGACGAGAACATTTTCCTCCAGCTGATGGCAGCAGAAACAACTAATGAACAGCACAGAGGGAACGTTCCCGTTGGGAACAATGTACAGTTATTAAATATATTTTAAATTCTAGATAACTAGAGAGAGAAAATAGTTCTAATTTATGTTACCCATAAAAAAGAAACCAAACTGTTTATTTTTCTAAATGGTAATTCATTATTTTTTAACATTTGACTGTAAAGTTGTTTAGTTTAGTTTAGTTTAGTTTTTACTCTTTTTAAATCAGCAATAAATATTATTTTCCAGAAACCTGCTTTTGTTAGAAAGAAGAAGACATGTGTATAATGAGGATTGGGTTTTTTTCCCAGCAGGTTATTTACAATGTGTGACCGTTTGACTGTATTTAAATTGGTGAAAAACATAATTATTTTACAGATACTTGAGATTATTTTCACAGTTTTTATAGCACAGTATTCAGTCGTTTATTTTATTATTTTTGTTTGTTTTTGTTTTTTGCTGCCAGATTTTCTTTTTTTTTAAATTTATTTATATTTTTCCCTTTTTTAAAAAAAAAATACAATGAACAGTTATACACTGGTCCATGTTTGTATGTTGTGATTTTCTTATTTTATTTTTATTTATGTATCTATTTTTTTTAGGTCTCTACGTACACTTCAACAGAATATCAGGCTCTCCAGCAGCTAAATACTCAACACATAATAAATATTGTACAGATGTATGTATGTATTTATTTATTTATTTATTTGCCTTTTTAGCTAAAATCAATCAATTATATTTTTTTAAAAACAGTCAAAACTGGCATCATTTACCTGAACATTGCTGCCTGTCTAATGTTTCACTGGATAAATATTATTCATTATAAACTGTGGTTTAAAATGCAATAAAGTTTTAGGAAATTCCTTTTATTTGGTGGTTAAAGGTCAAAGGTCAGGACCAGCTTGTTAACAGTGAGGTTTACTCGTGTAGTTCTTTTATTTTTCAGCTAAATAACAAACAGCTTTTAACTGTGAAGCGCCCGACGTGTCCCACCAGAGCCGTGCTCAGGCTTCGCTGCAGGACTGTGACCAGATCTTTGGCCAGCTGATCTGCTCCATGCAGCAGAGGTGCAGCGAGGTGAAGCGGCTGGTGTCGGCGCAGGAGAAAGCCGCCGTCGGTCGGGCCGAGGAGCTGAAGCTGCAGCTGGAGGAGGAGATCAGCCGGCTGAGGAGGAGGGACGCCGAACTGGAGCAGCTGTCGCACACCGATGACCACGTCTACGTGATGCAGGTGCCAGACGCCGCTCAGACTGGAAGATGTTTGGTTTTCATCTTTAATGCAGTAAATGTCTGCCAGTGTTTCCCTACAGGAGCCTCATGAGCTTGGTGGCTGAGAACGGTTCCATCTACTGGCCTAAACAGACATAGCATTAGAAATGATATGTAAAACTCCACACCTTAACAAGCAACGTATTCTTCTAAACAGGATCCTCAGCGGTTGTGTTTGTTCCCAGTTTTTGCCGTTTTCTTACACTTTGCCAACATTTCCTCTGATTTGTCCAGGTTCTCTCCACGTCCTGCGACTCTCCTGAGTTTAAACCAGCTGCTGCTGCTCCTCTGCGCTCCTTCCACGACGTGACTGACTGTGTGTCTGAGCTGAGAGACGAGCTGGAGGTCGTGCTGAAGGACGCGTGGCCTCGAATCGCAACCACAGGTAACAAATGGAAACATTCCCAGAAGTAGATCAAACACATTCAAACCTGTGCAGTATGAAAATAGAGGAATCTGCAATGTCATCGTTTCTCAACATACAGACGTGAGCAATATTGTTAGTTTTCCACATTGGCAGGAATCTGTGCAACATCTGAATTTCCACAGATGGAAGAATGTCCACAGTGTTTCACTGCTTATGTGTATTTCTTGCTTTACTTTTCCAGTGTTGTTTGTATGTTTTTGGCACTTCCCCGTGCTCACTGCAAACTTCCTTCCTCCATTAGTAAAGGCTTATCTTACGAGGTGTGTCAGAAAAGTTTCAGGATATATTTCGAATCCAAGCTTCCAGTTTTTCCTTCCAAGTCACCCCCCTGGATACTAACACACTCTCCCAGCCTTCTCTGCCTTCACGCTGCCATGCACTCCTGGAAGGATTCTTCCGGGTTCTTCTGCAGCTCCGTCGTCACGGCCATCTTGATGTCGTTCACGTCTTCTAAACGGGTCTCCTTGATGACCCCTTTGAGCTTGGGGAAGGGGAAGAAAACCCCACGGAGTCAGGTGGGGTGAGTAGGGAGGTTGCTCCAGCACGGAGATGTTCTTCTCAGCCAGGAACTGTGGGATGCTCAGGGCGTTGTCATGGTGAAACAGCCACAACTGGTCCTGCCACAGTTCTCTCCTCTTCTCTGAATGAAGCAAACGCTGCAGGATCTCTGTGTAGACGTGCTGGTTGATCGTCTGAAGGGGAAACTCGTAGTTTGTAGTTTAGGTTTGAAATATATTTTTTGTGACACCAGTCCTGGGACTTTTTTGACACACCTCGTATCTTTAAAAAAAAAATAATAATAAAAACATGGGATGATGTTTTGCTTTCATTCGTTTCATTCATTTAAAAACCAGCCTTCTTCTCTCTCACAGTCTCGTATGTGGACTTCTCACTGCCGCCAGCACCCAAATCCAGGGAGGAGTTTTTACGCTGTAAGAACTTCATATGAACATATTTAATAACTACCATCTAGGATTGGGTTTATTGCTCAGACTCACTGTGTTTTCCTGGCAGACTGCCGTCCCCTCACACTGGACGTGACCTCCAGCTACCCCTACCTCCACCTGATTCAGGACAACCTCCGGATGAGGCCTTCGCCCAGCTCCTACTCCGCTCATCCAGACAGGTTCACTAAGGTTCCCCAGGTGCTGTGCAGAGAGGGTTTGTCTGAGCGATGCTACTGGGAGCTGGAGTGGCACGCTCGCACTCTGTCTGCAGCAGTGGCCTACAAAGACATCAGCCGGACCTCAGACCAGTCCCAGTTTGGCAGAAACGACAAGTCGTGGAGTTTAGAGTGCACCGCGGACGGATACTTGTTCCGTCACAATAACATAGAAAAGAAAGTGTCAGGGCCTCCGTCCTGCAGGGTCGGAGTCTACCTGGATTACAAAGCGGGCGCTCTGAGCTTTTATCACGTCAATGAATCGATGGTTCTCATCCACCAAGTCCTGGACACGTTCACCCAGCCTCTTCACCCGGGGGTGGGTCTGAACTATGAATGGTATGATGTTGGAGTATTTGCACAGCTGGTCAAGTTATGGTAGTCTGAGTAAGTGTGTGTGTGTGTGTGTGTGTTTGAGGGGATTTTTTCAGTGTTGCAACAACTATTTCTACTGATAAAAATGTTCTAAACCATCCTGGAAGTCCCCGAGACATCAGGAGACATATCATGGACGGGAAGGTGGAAGAAAACCTTTTTGCATACAGCAACTTCTAAATGAACATAATGTGAAATCTGCAAGTTAGTGCACAAACTGATCCTTCTAATTTCTTTCTAGTAACTCCCGTCGTTACTCCAGTGAGGCTTGATAATGGCCTGACATTAGAAACCTGATATCAGTGAGTTTCTGCAGATCCCACTTCATCCTGGATGAAATGAATCCGTGCAATCCCGAACTTGTTTTTTAAAAAAAAGAAGCGTTGTTTGTTTTAGTTGGTGGTTGATTACGATCAAGAGGGTTTTCATCGCCTACGAGGGAAAAAAAGTACTTGCAAGTTACTGCAAGTGCAAAATCCCTGTTGCGGTTTTGTTTTGTGTGTGGAAATTTTGCTTGGATGATAGACAAACCTGCTTACAAAACATGACAATTTGCTGCTGATTGTCTCCTTTTACTGCTTTTTTGATTGTGCATAAACAAAGGTTGACGGGGCCGAGGTCTTTGTTTGACTGACGGCTGATTTTACTCATTTGAGAATGCCTTTGACATGTTTTCACTGCAGATGTCGCTGTAGTACCTTAAATATCGGTTGCACTTTAGAAAATAAATATAATTGCATTGTCCATATGGAATATCCCATCTGCTTTGTTGTCATAGTTACCACGTCCACGTAGCGAGAGGCTGCTGTGTCGAGGTTTGGTTTCCACCCAAAGCCCAAAGACATGCAGGTTGGGTGAACTGCGGTCGTCTCTCCGAGTGTTAAACAAATCAAAACACTGGCAACCTGCCCAGGTACCAAGCAGCCTTTCATCCAGTATGGACCAGTGAGTCTTCATGCTCTGTTGCTAAACGATGGCATCAAATCAGGACCATGTAGCAAAGAACCTAATGAAACTTGACATGCATCCATCAGACCATGAGAGACACACGGGTTTGTGTGTGAACTTTAAAGGTTTAGTTCAGAGTCTAAAGTTATTCAAGAAAGTCGATGAACACCATCTGACTGGAATTTTAGATTTTGTCAAGCCAGCTAACGAAAAGAAAGCCCGACTCGGTCAAACTTGCTCCCTGGTGCAGCTCTCAGGTCTGAGATTTTTTATTGTCCTTTAAATCTGTATTGTGACCTCTGTCTCCCCCTTCTGGCAGCCAGAGAAACGACACAAACCCAGCCTCGATTCTTCTGGAGACAAACTGATCTTCTGGTGCAACGCCGTGCAAATGTCGTCACAGACACTTGATAAAAAAACTGCGAAATGTGATTAATCAGCGATGTGTCAACATTAGCTGGAATGTAACAGATGTTGGTTTCCACGTAAAAGTCCTGCACTCCAGCTCTCAGCCCTGCACGCAATGTTCTTTTTTGCGTGACACACTGAATGCACAGAGGTACTTTAAAGGGCTTTACATGATCAGATGTATGCCTAAGTCTGGTGCAAGACTGTTTTTTTTCTAGTTTGAGCGGAAATGAATACTTGCGACAACAGTGTGCTTACAACAGTTGAGAGAAGTTTTCTTAGTTTGACCTGAAGCCTCAACCTCAGCCCCATCCAGCACTGTGGGGATGAGCTGAAGCATCGACTGTGATCCATCCAGCAGCTCACTGATGCTGAATAGTGAAAGATCTCTGCAGCCAGGAGACAAAATCTTGAAATCTTGGACAGATCCTGAATCCACAAGAGTGGAGGAGCAGCAGATTCTTCCCCATTATTTCCTAAGAACATTTAGTAGAAGTAGTTTTAAGGGGGGCTGCAAGGTGGCGCAGTTGGTAGCACTGATGCCTCGCAGCAAGAAGGTCGCCGGTTCGCGTCCCGGAATCTTTCTGCGTGGAGTTTGCATGTTCTCCCCATGCAGCGTGGGTTCTCTCTGGGTTCTCCGGCTTCCTCCCACAAAAACATGTTAAGGTTAATTGGTGATTCTAAATTCACATGTGAATGTGAGTGTGCTTGGTTGTCTGTCTCTAAGTGTGGCCCTGCGATGGACTGGCGACCTGTCCAGGGTGTCCCCTGCCTTCACCCTAAGTCGGCTGGGATAGGCTCCAGCCCCCCCGCGACCCTAATGAGGATTAAGCGGTGTATAGAAAATGGATGGATGGATAGTTTTAAGGGATCTGCCTCTGAACTATCAACTGCTACGTGAATAGAAGAGAGTTTGTGGTTGCATAAAGGATATGAGTGGCAGTAGTTGAGGGAGTATTCACATTCTGTACTTAAATCAAACTACTAACACCACGCTGCAGAAGCACTCTGTTACAGTCCCACACTGAAAACGTTGCTCTCACAAATAAGCTCTTAAAGTATTAGAGCTAAAAGCAGTCAGTGCAGATTATTGTCCCCTGTGGCTGATTCCATTTTATGATATCATTAGATTATTATTACTCATAAAAACAGGATCTCCTTGTTGTCGCTGTTTGAGGTGGAGCTCATTTTGAACTGAAAATAGCAAGAAACGCTGTCACAAGGGCTCCAAAAGATCAGAATGTTGCCTTCTGTCAGCTGACTAATTCATTAATCAGCTTATTAATTCAGCTGCAAAAATCTCACTAACAAGCTGTCAGATGAATGCAGTGAAGTTGTATTTTCTTTGAGAGGTAACGTAAGTAGACGCAGCTCAAATTCCCACTACAGTACTTGAGTAAATAGACTTCCACGCCTGGCTATAGGGTTTTCCTGCAGTGCTGTGGGTGAGCTAACGCTTTAAGTCGACGACATACATTCCTGTTTGCTCGACGTGTGAGGATGTTGACAGAGTGCCAGGGCAGAGGCAGGCCAGGTCATAGGGACACACCTTCAGCGTTCACTCCACTGCATGTTACAGCAAGCATGACAAATCAATGGAGAGGCAGAGAGGGAAGGAGGGAGTGGATGAAGTGGAAAAACGTGGGCAGAAGAAACCGTAAAACCAAGAGGAGGAAAATATAACATCTACACCAGAGTCAGGTTTCTTTTCCAGCTCCGGGTGTCCTCTTCCCCCCCAGTGTTGTGACAGCGTTGATGCCTTGGTGAGTCTCATTTTTCTTGTCTTTGAGTTGTGCATGTGTTCTGGTTTCTGTCATAATGCTGCACTCGCAAAAAAAAAAGAAAGAAAAGAAATTCCTTGGAGCAAGTGTAGTTATGAAGCAGAAAGAAGGACGTTTCATTTTGTGGAGTGTCAGGACTCTTTTTTTTCTCTCTTTTTTGACTTGTTTTTGTTGGATTACTGTCCAGTTTACATGATTACTGTTTGAATATGAGCAGATCAGGTGGAGCTGAACCTGTGCCTGTGTGCTGTGTAGTTTCTGTATGAATGGCTTCTGGTAGTTCGCACAACAGGTGTGATTTTGTAAGCATGCGTGTGAGTCACACGCCACACAAACACACCTTTTGAGTCGGTCCAGTTTTATCGTCTTAACTTTTAACAGGAAGCTCTGTCCAAATAGTAGTAAAAATCAAAGAAGTACGGATAAAGAGAGCACATTTTGTCTGTTGTAGTGAACAAACCGAAACAAGCGGACGAAAAAAGCAACAAGAAGAACAGGAAAGACTTAACGTGACAGTAACGTCAACCACCTGGTAATGGTTGGTTTAGAGTCACTGTTGCACAATAAAAAAGGTGTTTTTTGAGTCACTGTGTATGTGGCTTGACCGGCTTTTTGTAAACACTCGCCATGTGCCCATATTTTCTTCTTCAACTGGCAAAAAGAAAGGTTGACTTCTCTGTAACATCATTATGACAGAATTAAAACGTCAAATCTACACGTTGACTTTGGATTCTGAATGTGCTTCCATTCAGAAATCATAGAAGTGCATGTTTTTCCATGCTTCTGACTACTTTTTTATTTTTATTTTTTTTAAACCACTTCGATCAATATTTATTATTTTAAATGTACTGGCACATTTAGACGCACAAAAACCAACAAATGCAACCTGTCAAACAGCTTAGAGTAAGATTTTCTTCTAAAAATTTCTCTACCAGCTTCTTCATCAACTTTACATGCAACACATAATAAATGCTTCCTCTTTAACCCACACTCTGCTGTATCTATACTGTACATGCGATGGGAGAGAAACGTCCCCTAAATGCAACAAAAAAGGCGCACAATCCCTCCAACCTGCTCTGTTTGGTGTGCACTCGCTCACCACGAACAGCACGTTACACACTGATTTATCCTGTAATAATCCATAATTGCAGCACAGATTGCTGGGAAATCTCAAGCGAGTTTGTTTTGCAAATGTGGGTGTGAGTATTTGGCTATATGCTGCTTTGTCGGCGTGACAGCAGCGTAAAGGGCGTGCTCTTATATCAATGTTCCAGATGTGGAGAACAAGCGACGGCATGCCCACCTTTTTAACAGCTTTTTTTTTTTTTTTTTTTTAGCAACATGGCGTGCATAAATATGTCTCCTGGCAGGAGCCTATAGGATGAATACAGCAGCAGTTTCTGTTGCTTGCTGACACCTAACTCAGATTCCTGAATCTTCCTCTTCCTACATGCTTATTTTGGCTTTCAGGGAGTTACAGAGAGTGTAAAAGTCCTGAACCATGATTTATCATATCATATCCCATAAAACAATCTAAACCAACAATGTTAGTCCCAAAATCTTTACATTTTCTAATTTCCCACCTCATCTGTAGCAGCCAATCACGGCTGTTTGAGGCTATAAGAGATAAATCTGTTTTTGTGGAATTCCCGCCGAGTAAACTTTTGAAATCCCAACTTTGCAAGATGTCAATACAGAAGTGGCTTTTATGGGATTTGCTGGATATTAAGAAAAGCATAGAATATAACCAGCCTTTAAACACTTGCTCTGGCTTGCATAAAATACTCCTACCAGTTTATAGAACACTTTGGAGACATGTCAATATAAATCCAGAAGGTCCTGATTGTTAGGAGGCAGCCAGACGGTGTAATCTGTCTGAGCTTAAACAGCCTCTATTATTCTTTTTGGATTTGTCCTTTAATGTGGTATGAAGCTTTTCATGTAAAAGGTTTGTGAACACACAAAACCCAAAGCATCAAAGCGACTTTTTGTCTCCCACAGACAACGCCGCTCTTTACCTGCCTGAAAAGCCTCATTTGAAGTCCACGTCTTTCTTCTGTTACTTATTTACATCGTCATGGGACACATTCGCCTGCCCTTGCGGATAGTTTTTTCATATCTATTTCCTCACTGAGGCTGTTTCTGTCTATGCTCGTAATACATAACCTGCATTTTGTCACAAACATTGCCCCGGCTGACCAATCAGAGCAGTCTGGGCTTTACGTTAATGGTGTCTTAAAGAGACGTGCACCAAAAGGAAGTGTTTCAGACAGAAGTTTAGAAGAGCTGCTGCAGCAATGATTAGAAAGAACGATGTGTTTTGCAAGCATTAGAACAATATTCTATTAAACACCCCCCAAAATCAAATAAGAAAGCTGTAAATGTGCATAGTTTGGGCTCTTTGAAGTGCATTTGTGCTGCACAGAAACTTCCTGATGCAAGCACGTCAACATTTTAATGACATTGTTCACTTTGCTTTCGAGTAACTCGTTGCACTGCGGGTGACGCGGTGCACGACACGGTCACATGTGTTGACACATTATGCCAACATGTGTCTGTTGATTACCTCATTCTGAAGCCACGGGCATCGATCTGCTGATATAACAGCTTCCACGCTTCTGGGCCAACTTTCCACGAGACTTATATATGAAAGAGGCATTAAAATATATATAAATATCCTAGTTTTTCAAAAATGGGTTAATTCTACGAGTACATTTGCCACCGGCCTGTAGTCTGTGCCAATCTGTTATTTTTTCTTTTAATTATTTGAATGCAAAATCTCAATCTGTGGAGTTATTAACTGTCAGATGAAGGCGGTTGAAGCACCAAATTTCCCTCCTAAATGTGTAGATGTTCATTTTCCAAGTGGTTGCTCATGTAATTCCCATGTACTAATTTTTGTCGTGTTTTATTTCATGTCATTCGACTTTTTTTCTACTGACTGCACATCTAAATATCCACATTTCTTCCTCCGCTTTTGTGTTGTGATGGTGCTACAAACGATCTTGGCTCATCCAGCCTTAAAGAGAAAGACAGCGCTGATAAACCTCAGGCTGAATCATTACTCAAATACCGACACCAACACAGGGATTGTTGCTCTTCACTCATGTCTGGTCTCGTCCGTCAGGAATTAAGGATCCCCGTTAAAACCTGTTACACTTGCGCCACACTCCCACGTTTTCCTGCATCGAATTCATACTTGTCAAACTGATGCCAGTGACAGATAAAAAGCGAGGCCCTCTTATTAGTTCTGTCGGTCCTAATAAGGAAGGTTTTATTGCACTTGTTCAAATCTTGTCAGTGTAAATCATTTAATGTTATTCTCTCTTTGGCAGGTAACACAAAATGGCCCAGGGAAACTGCTCCACATTCCAAAATGCAGGAAATGAGACCATTGTGGATAACAAAACCGCCACCACTATGGGTGCCCTCATCCTCACCCTCGTCTTTCTCTTGGGCTTCCCCGGAAACCTCTTCATCATCTGGAGCATCCTCGCAAGAGCCCGAAAGCACTCCGTCACCACCCTCCTCATCCTCAACCTGGCCATCGCAGACGGCTCCCTGATGGCTCTCACGCCGTTCTTCATCGTCTACCTGGTCATGAAGAACTGGGCGTTTGGGAACATCATGTGCAAGATCCTCTTCTACCTGTGCCTGGCCAACATGTACGCCTCCATCCAGCTCATCATGCTGATGAGCGTCTACAGGCTGGTGGCCGTGCTGTGGCCGCGGCGGATCAGCGTCATCACCGGCCGGAGGACTGTGATGCGGCTGCTGGCCGTGGTGTGGGCGCTGGTCATGGTCGCCTCGGTTCCTGCACTTATCTTCAGAGAAGTGAGGCGCAAGGGGCCCGTCTCGGTGTGCGATTCATTCCACAATAAATGCAGTGATGTGAGTCAACGAGAACCTTAACTCGATGCCATCGTACACTCTGCAATCTTTTTGAGTTATGACAACTTCTAATGAAATTATGTTGAACCAACCGATGAGATTGAGTTGAAAGAATGAGCTGTTCCTCTACAAGCAACAGTATGTTTAATTACTTATGTGTTAAGATAAGTCATGTTAAGATAGAGGAAGAGACTTAAAAACCTGAAGTCAAGGTGAAGAAAAACATTACTGAGCGTTATTAAGCCAATTTCATTAAGTGACCTCAGCTTGAATTTAGATTTAAATCAACTGAAGCAGAAAGTTGTGTTGCAACTAATCAAAAATATGTTTGCAGCTTCATATGAATTGGTAAATTAAATTTAAATGTAAAAAATAAATAAATCTTGCAACCATGCATTTCATTAAGTCATAGGAATAGGACCACTGAATTACTTTTTTTATAGAGGAGTGACCTTAAAAACCTGAAACTAATGTGAAAAAAAATGAAGTTATGAAGCCATTTTCATTAAGTTACCTCAACTTAAGTTTAGATTTAGATCAATGAAAGCAGAAACTAGTATTTTTATGTCAACACAACTCGTGTATGCAATGTTTACAATTTAAAAGTTTGTATAAATCAATAAATTTGAGTTTTTGGGGGGTTTTTTTGTCTTCCAACCATGCATTTAATTAAGTTGTAGGAACTGGTCCCTTGAACTGCTTCTTGAACTACTTGCACTAAGAGTTAGTCCAATCTCCAACAACCACAGTGCAAAATGTGTTATTTCACAATAAAGGCTGAAAAATTGTGAAACTTGAACCTTTACTTGGGAGCGATTCTTAGGGCCTGAGTCACCAGCAATGTAGAAAACAACTGGAGCTTTATGTTGAGCCCTTGCATGGGTGTACTTTAGGCCAAACAACGATCTTAATAAGTCAGACGAGTTGTTTTGTGATTAAGCGCATCCAAGTAATTTTGTAGCATTAAAAAGAAGCAAAAAGTGAAAACGGGGACGAAAAGTAAAAGTTAACAGTGACTGAAAACGCAACAAAACAATGACCCACAAAGAACTCACAACCAAAAGGCCAGAAAACAGTGACTGAAAACAAAAGTGAACCATCAAATATGTTTTCCTGAACATGACTAAACAGTATTGGTAAGTTCTGATGTGTAAACAAAAGCAAAAACAATGAAACAGCGACTGAAAACGAAAGTCTACAGTGAGTGAAAAACACAACAAAGCAATGGTGTAGGAAGTGTCGTGGTACAGCCCTGCAGCCTCCTTATGCAGACATTGTTAGTCTTTTTTTGTGTAAAGTGAAAGAAACTTGTAAGTCATGACGTGATTAATCACTTCACATGGATGCAATATGGATGAATAATTGTCGGCATTTAACAGTTTTACAGACTTTATTGTGAAACTAGTATGTTTTTTAGCTGTTGCTTTTACATATTTTAGTGTGAGACTGCATTGCTCGAGGAATCGATAGAATTTTCTGAATCATACATTAACTAGATTTTTGTTGGGAACATTAGAGTTTCAAGTGTGAACTCAGCAACGTGTTTTTTTTTTTTGTATTTTCCACTAATTTTTTTCCTCCCGTCTTGTGTCCTCTGCACAGGTGGTCCTTCAGTACATGCTGGAGCTCGTGTTGGGCTTTTTAATTCCCTACGGGGTCATCGTGGTCAGCTACATTTGCATCCTCCGGCGTATCCGTCGCACCAAGTTCAACCGTCGCATCCGTAGCGAGAAGCTCATCCTGGCCATCGTGCTGACCTTCTGCATCTTCTGGCTGCCCTACCACGTCGTCAACATGGTGCAAGTACGTCCTGCTGCTACACAACATGCCTGATTCCCATCTAGTGTACAGGATTTCTAGAATTATTTAAATGAAATGAAACTGTTAACAAAGAAATTCTGTGTTGTTCTCAGGTTACCTGGGCTTTGTGTCCAGATGGTGCAGTCAAAGACAAGTAAGTGACACATTTGCATGAATCTCATTTGTACAGCTGATGTTAAAATCCAAACAGGAGGCAGTAATCTGGGTTATTATCCTTCATGGTGTACAGTTGGAGGAAATGAGTCGGGTACAGTGTTGCTGGAGTCAGAATTAGCATCACTTCATCAGCATTTTGTTCTATGGAGCAAGAGCCAGGAGGAGATTAGTGCAGCACCCTGTAAGCGAATGGAAACCACTCGCCTGACTTTCCAAAATAAAATACCTCGACGTCAAAGTTGTACGCATGATCGGCTGTCCGCGCTTTTAAATATTTACAATATTGTTGAAACAGAACACTCGCAAATTGGCAAGATAAGCAAATACAGGAGCTCCATATAAAAGACATTCATGGGTGGATTTTTCATTTTTTGGAAGTGAAAGATTTGTTTTTCCGATTCACTATCACAGAAGCTTACATCAAGAGGAGCTAATGGAGATTGGAGAAATTTGTAAATAATGGTTTTGTAGTGTATATATATTACTCATTTAATTGTTTTTAGCTTTAATAGCCATTTTAATAGTAATCAAAGTGTGATATTCTGTTCCTATAAATGTTTTGTTTGTTGTGTGCCGAAGCATGTTGGTGAAGTAAAGACGATTCTTCCAATTAGTCAACTAGTGACGCAGGGTCGTTGCTGTTGTTGTTTTTTGGTTGGCATTCAAAGATAACAAAATGCAGTTATGAGCACCTCTGCAGATCCCTAAACGTATGTTGCGGTTTCATTTATTAGTGGACAAAAGCTCGACACAGTAACTTCTCGATCTTGTGGATGCAGAATGGAAGTTGTTAACAGGTGGACAAAGTGTTGTTCAGTTCAAACAGAGCCGCAGCATCCAGTGTGTTCATTGAAATGCCCCTTTCAATTATTTTTTACCATGTCAACATCTCCATATGGTGTTTTTTTTGTATGCTAGAAGATAATGAGTGAAGTAAGCAGTCCATGTTGTGTCCAAGTATTTGACCGTCTCAAACATGCAGATTTAGACTTCTGGGATTTTGGACATGTAACAAACCTTAGGAACCAATCCTGTGCTTGTAGCGTTCACAGAGCTGCACGTTCACAAAAAAGCAGTGGTGTAGAGTTGCATCTAAGCCATTTTAAGGCAGGAAAGGATTATTTTCATGGAAACAACTTCAAATATGTAATTTTAATTCACAGAGGTGTGTTTCTCTGGGTTACTGGAGATTGGTAGGTGTATTTTTTAGATAGAATACGTTTAAATAAAGCTCAGCTAGCTGGTCTGAAAAACAAATCAACAGTCTATTTTGCAATCATGTATCCGTGATCTAAACACCTTCTCCCCTCTCCACCCATCAGACTGGCTGCAATATGGCACAGGAGTCGTGCCGTCACCTCCTCCTTAGCCTTCATGAGCAGCTGTGCCAACCCGGTGCTCTACTTCTTCGCCGGAAAGTCCTACATCCGACGAGAAGGACTGGCGTTCATGGCTCGCTTGTTCGAGGGCACGGGGCTGGACTCCGGCACCAGGAAGAGCCGGCAGAACAGCCAGAACAGCCGTGACAAAGACAAAGATGCAGGCGGCGTCATGCTAAAGGACAAGGAGCTGGACTCTGTCACCAACTCGAGCTCTAACATCAAGCCAGTGAAGAACGGTAAGTAGAGGACCCATGAGGCTCGAGGGTGGTGTGGTGTCTCCGGAACATTAAACCACTCAGGCCTTTAAATCTTTCCTCCGTCCAGTCACAAAAATTTTGACAAGAATTCCTGCACAGCTGATCCCTGCCCATCAAAATAAATAAAAAAAAAATCAGCTGCTGCATGAATCTTTCTTCAAAATGAGACTGTTACAAACTAAATAAATAAATAAATAAAATAATAATAATAATAAAAAAAAAAATCAGCTGCTGCATGAATCTTTCTTCAAAATGAGACTGTTACAAACTTGAAGGTGGATGTAACTTGCTGTAGGCCATCGGAGGCATCCTAAAGTGACGCTGTATCTGAGGTGATGCTCAAAACTCACAACGCAGCATCATGAGAACTGTGTATATGAGCTTGGCTTGGCTCCGAACATGAGGACAAACTGGAGTATTATCCAGGATGCAACTTGTTGCCTCAAAACTCCTGATAATACAACTTTAATCCCTCAAAGGAGGCGGTGCACTGTCTTGACTGTACATGTCTACTGAACTTTTTTGTTTTTTGTTTTTTTTTAGTCTCTCTAACATTTGTTCATTGTCAATTTGTTAATGCAATGTTTTATTTGTAAAAATGCCTGGTAGAAGTTTAGACAAATCCACTGTACAGTTACCGTTATAGAGATGAGTTGAGTTGACCTGAATAAGGTTGACATGCTATTGCTAACAATACTTACTATTAAAATGCACACGGATGTATTTCACAATAGTCTTTTTTTATTTATTTTAAAATATATGTTTATTTCTTGGATGTACGGATATTTTTGGCCACTTGGGGGCAGTAGAACAATTTGTATATTAACATATTAACGCCTTAATGTGGTTAAAACGTTAGCACACAATTAAGTCCAATAGTCACTCTAATTGTAGCTTTATTTTAGTCTAAAAAAGAACGTTTAAGAAGCATTTTGATCAATGGCAGCTTAATGCTCCACTCTATTATCAGCCAGCTGCCACTGCACAAAAACTTGGAAAAAAAAATGCAAGTTTTTAAAAAAAATTATTTTGTTTTAGCAAAAACCTTGATTTTATTTAGTGCATATCTCAGGGTTTTTTTAAAGGTCAAATACTAAGCCAGGATTTAGCGTCTATATATGACGAGTAAGGAGTGAGGATGGGTTGAAATATGGTGAACAGTTATAACAGCAGATGATATTTAGACTTAAATTTGACTTTTAATGTACACTGTGTCTGGAGCAAGTCAGCGTTTGTGGTACGATAAAATATAAGATCCATGTATGAAGACATCTGGAGTATATCAGGAGTATCTCTTGCTTAGATGTGTATGGTGGAATATGGAGTGCAAATATACACTAAGTGACATTTTACATTTGATATTTAACCATATACTATACACAGAGCATGTTAATGGCGTTTATATTTGGTCCGCACAATGTCTGAGTGCATCAAGTGTTTAAGTCACACAATCTAAATGTGACCACATGACACATTTGGCCTAAAATACAGATCACATCAAACAAATATGATATAATATGAAGTACTTCCATATCTATGGCTCAGATTGGGCAATCTGCACCTACTTGGTGGCCAGAAGTTGCTCAACATGCATTCTGATCACTGATAAACAGAAAGGCACACAGATTACGTAGGAAACTTCTTGCGGTTTTGTGATAAAGTGGATGTAAAATCAGCTGGTGCACAAGAGTGAAATGAAGTTTTCTACACTTCTACAATTTCATTTAGCAGAAGTTTTTATCCAAAGCGACGTACATCTGAGAGCAAATACAACACAAGCAAGGATGTAGTCAGGAGAAAACAATCTAGATAAGTGCCATAGAACAAGTTCAAGTGTGATAAGGCATCAAGGGATTCTTTGCTAGCAAGCCAACTTTTGAAAAAAGTCGAGATGGTTGGTGTACTTTTCCAGTACTGAATATCTCTGCTTTGCCTTAGTTTCTTAGATTTTTTGCTTCACTGCTTCACTCTGTGGTCCATTTTGATGAACAGTTTTCTAAAAACGAGACCAATTTGCCCCAAATGTTTTATTTTGGACATTGGCCGGCTGTGGCTCAGGTGGTAGAGCGAGTTGGGAGGTCGGCGGTTCGATTCCGCCCTGCAACCTGTGCCATGGTCGTTGTGTCACTGGGGAAGACACGTCACCCACCTTGCCTGGTGTGAATTCGAATGAATGGATTGTTTGAGGTGGTGGTTGGAGGGGCCAGCCACACCTCTGTCAGTCTGCCCCAGGGCAGGAATGAATGTGTGTGAATGAATAATTGACAGTGTAAAGCGTCTTTGAGAGCCTAGAAAAGCGCTACATAAATCTGATCAATCATTAATTATTATTATTATCATGATACGGACGCAGCCAGAAAACCAATCATAATATTTCCTATTTGAAAATAAAATAACGCTGCGTTTGTTGGTTTGTATTTCAACAAATACACACTTTTTGATGAGATTGTTAAAAAGCAGCATGAGTCCACAGCTGGTGAGGTTTTGGATGATGCCAGTAGAGGTCAAAAACCTCCTGGCACCAGCCACATATTACCCATTTGATCCATTCTTAATATGAAAATGTTGATTTGTGCCGTTTTAAAACCCTAAACTGGAAAGTTTTTCAATCTAACAATACAAAATGAAGCAAAGAATGACATAAAACATGACGCATCACAAGTTTTTATGCAATTAGATACGTCCTGTCCCTCACAAGTGACTTGAGACAGCTGGGCGATGTGGAAAGAGGAATATCCTGTAAATGACTGCCAGAAAGAAAAAAAGAAAAAAGTCTGGTGCAAGAGACTAGACAATGTATGAGCTATGATTTAATATTCATGTATCGACAAGATCCTGACAGTTTACTGGAAAATATTCCCTCCCTCACTTATTCATCCTTGTGACGATAGCTTGAGCTCGTTCAATCCTGTTCTTCCACGGAAAGGACGCCATCAGTTTCTCAACAGTTTATGATTCTTCATAGCATCTGCAGCTAAAAAATGTGTCAAGAAGCTGCTGCAGGTCTGTGATTTTTAATCTGTCCAAATATGTCACATAATGCAGCAGCATCGGCTTCATTAGTCTTCTTTCTGGATGACTGCAGAGCAAACACTGCTCCACACGGGGCGGCAGGTGTTAAGTCAACATTTTTCACAAAACTGGTTTGCATTCCAGTGTCACCTAGTTTTTAATGCCAAAGCCTGCAACCTTAGAATACAATAGCAGAACGTAGTGAGTAGGAGGAACAACAGGCACTACGCAACTCAATGAGCACAACATGGCTTCCTGTCGCCAGTGGATTTCCCCTCACATGATCCTTCTTACTCAATATACTGTACATATATATTTGTTTTTCTCCACACACGCACACAGTCTTCAGAGTAGCTGAGGAGTTCAGACGAGGTGTTAGATAGATGGGATTTATTGCAGTGGATTTAACTTTGTGGCTTTAAGAGAGAGAGATCACCAGTCGAAGGTCAGTATGTGATATCATTCGGATCATTAAAAAGTTTGCGAAACTGAATTTCCACCAGAGATCACAGAGTTTCAAGAAACACTTGCATTTTTGGTCAAATGATTCTTAATATCTGTTAGAAAAGTAGCTGAAATGTCACCTTTTATTTTGAAAGTTATAACAATGATAAAGGTATGGCTGGTATTTCACTGCAGTTTGTGATCGTTGCTGTTTGAGCAGCTTTCTGTGAGATATGTGTGTTTGGACATTAGAAGATTAACAGTTTGACAGAAATATTAATGAGGAAAATGTAAGTTCTCTCTCAGATCTATTTGGAAAACTAAAAGATAGAGCAGATCTGTTTTGATGAAGTGGCAGAAAGAACATGTTATTTCAATATTTCAGGACAAAACTGCATCTGAATTTTAAGCTTTTCTTCTTCTTCTTCTTCTTCTTCTTGCAACTATTCTCTCTTTATACAAAAAAGTCAGGAATTATAATTAAACGAAAATTATTTGTTCTGCAGGTTGTGCAATTTGACATCAAGTTGACGAAATCATTTGTTTACTGCACTATGCAAGTAACACCATATAACCACCTGCACTTCCTCAGACAGCGTTTGATCTCGCTTCCTTCAGTTTGATGATTACAGATTACTCTGCTCTCCACCCTTCTCTTGAAATCTAGTGACACAAAAAAAAAATGTGGTGCTATATTTTGGCATTCACATCTCAATAACCTTAACCCAACATATCCTGTTTCCTGCCTTTCTCTTCCTTGAAAGGTTGCTTTTGTTGAATTCCTCTCAGCCTTCCTTGATGGAATCCGTTTTAAACAACACCACCGCCTCCACCCAGCCGGCGTCTTCTGCCCCCTTTCTCCCTGTCTCAGCCAAGATCGGCATCGCCATCCTGACCCTGGCCTTTGTTCTGGGCTTCCCCGGCAATCTGTTTGTGGTTTGGTCGGTGTTCTGCCGGGTGAAGAAGCGCTCGGTGACGTGCTTGTTGGTGCTGAATCTGGCCGTGGCGGATGCCTTCGTGCTGCTCAGTGCCCCTTTGTTCCTGCGGTACCTGGCTGGAGGCCGGGGCTGGGAGTTTGGCTCGGCAGCATGCAAGCTGGTGCACTACTTGTCCAACGTGAACATGTACGTGTCCATCTACCTGATCTGTCTGATGAGCATGGACCGCTGGCTGGCCGTCACGAGGCCTTTTCTGTCCCAGAGGATGAGAACCAAGCGCTCACTGCTGGGTCTGCTGCTGCTGATCTGGGTGTTGTCGTTCATCCTGGCGTTGCCGATGCCTTTCTACCGCAGGTGAGACCAAAAGATGACTTTGCATCTTTAAGTTTCTTGTATTTTAAAGACTGCTGCAAAGCAAGTTGGCACCTGAGAAACAACAAAGCCCCTGTTTTCTGTGTGTGGAGGGTTTGGTTTCTCATAAAGTATCTGTGTGCATTCAGTGTTGACCCATGGAGCAGCTTGTTTTTTTTTGCTTGTTTTTTTTAGGTACTTTGTAGATAAACTTGGTACAAACGGTATGGAGGTTTATTAACAACGAAAGTATCAGAAGATTAAAGGCATCAGATGTCATTAAATGAATCATAACTGCACTGAAACTTTTGAATAAACTCGAAATCTACATAACACATGCAGTTTTTTACTTGTAATTTTAGATAACAAGCCTGCATTAGAGCGTGATCTCACATGGCTGCTGTAGACTTCAAATTTCAATTAATAAAGTAAAAAGTTATGGAGTGAACTGTTAAATAGATCAGACTAGACATAACCCACTTAAGTTTCTGCCCTTGTTTGCAAAATCATTTCTGTATACTTACTGTCATCCATTTCATTTTTATTTCCTCAGTGGTTGCTTCATAGTTTTGTCACAAACCTAGACTGTGTCCCAGGATGGAGTATCTACTGACGCATTCACTTTTTATTTGTGTTTGTTTCTCTCTGCTTCACTGACAGTAATTTGAAGAAAGGCCAAAACACCACTGTGAGCGACTGCATCCCTTACCACTGGGGTTCTGTGGGCCACAAGGTCTTCCAGTACGTGTTTGAGACCACCATGGGCTGCCTGGTGCCCTTCACCCTCATCAACACCTGCTACTCCTCCGTCATCTGCCGCCTGCAAAGTGCCAAGTTTCAGCGCCGAGGACAAGGCAGCCGTCTGATCCTGATCATCATCTGCGCCTTTGCAGCATTCTGGCTGCCCTATCACATTGTCAACGTCATAGAGGTGATTTTTTTTTAGTTTTATTAAGCTGTGTGTTGGCAGGATGAGACCTGAGGAGACTTACTGTGTTTGCATTGCAGTTCTGCGAACATTTCCAGTTGTTCTGGTTCTGTGCCAGTGTTTTTCATTCAAAGTCTTCATTCAAACAAATAAAATTCCCAATTCCAGTGTAGAAAAAGCAGGAGGTAAAACCAAATACAATTAATTAGTGAATGAAAACAGCACTTTCATTGATAAATAAGCTAGATAGTGAAACAATTATGGTGAGGATGAGATGGCTCTGCTATTGTTTATAGCGTCAGCCATCATAGAGCAGGTTATTTCAACAGCCTCAATGTTTTTGCCAGGCCTTCTTTAGGGAACCTTGTTTGTTCTTGACAACCATCTCACTGACCAATGTTTGAGTACTGGCTTTTATCTGAGAATTCTATACCCGTTCTCCCTCTTTCAGGTGGTCGGTCTTTTGCAGAACAGCGATTCAGTGCTCGCCGCTGCTCGCACTGCCCGTCCCAATGTCACAGCCTTTGCCTACTTCAGCAGCGCCGTCAATCCCATCCTGTACGTGTTCGCCGGCAGCTCCCACATCCGCCAGGCCGGGCTCAGCTTCATGGGCAAGCTGTTCGAGGCCACCAACTCGGAGAGCAGAACCACGTCGACCTTCACCCGCAGCAGCCGCAGCAGCCGCAGCAACTCTTCACCAGACGAGAGCTCCATCCTGCACACGCTGTCCATCAAACTGGGGAAACCTTTCAAAGGCAAGAACAAGGATAGGAGCAGCAGTGTGGCGGACAGAGAGGTCAACCAAGCTGAGCTCAAGACTCTGGCCAGCGTTGAACAGTTAGAGTAGCACCTGAGCTAGTGCGCATGGACTATATTTCAAGATCAATTAGACTGATTTTAGTTTTCATGTTTGAGCTTTGACTTTTGTTCAGCTTTATTACATTAAGACAAAGAAATGTTGCAGCCAGTCATAGAATGTCACTTAGTAAAGAGGATATCAGTCAAGTCAAATTGTGGAAATGGTGAGAGTGTTGGGAATGGCCGGAATAGTGGGGATGACGGAAAAAATGGCGGGAATGACGGGAATGGCCACCACCAACAGAGTATTTAAAGATGCAATTACAAAATGTAAATATATTCAATTGAATATGCAAGAGCTATAAAAACAGGGTTTGATTTCATTAAAAGGAAAAGACTATAAATGCATACATTAAATGGAAACAACTCCAGTTTTTTAGAAAAGGATCTTTGACAGATACAACCATACTCCAAAGTAATATCTTATTTATATCTACTTGGTGCACTGTTGGTCCACATATGGACAGTTTATTTAAGATTTGTTTGCTGAGATTTCTAGTTTTGACTTTTTATTACAAGCCTAAAATGCTGTCTGGCTTTGTGTAGCAGTGACTTTATTCACATTACAATGCAGCTATAATGAGATTTGATATATGTAGCAAATAAAGCTTAATATTATATAGTCTGCTGTTGTGTTTTTGTCACACATACACTTGAAAGACTAGCTCTCAAAAGGAAATGCCCTTTTCACTGATATGTGAAACGATACTGTCAGTTATGCAATGTTCAGAAGCGTGAGGCGAACATTGCATTCGAAGCATTTCACCAAAATGTCCTTCTTTCATTGGTTCTTGCATCAGTCTGTCCTCTATTACACAACATGCGACTGAAAAGGTTACATCACAGGATATTCTGTGCCACCAACCGTCCTGTGACGAATGACTTAAAAGGAGTGAAATGAAGGGAAAAAACTTAAACCAACTATGAGTCACATAAATTTCCACTTTTAATAACGTACAGAGACAGCGAAATGGCATCAAGAGCTCTTAGAGCGACAATGTTTAGAGCCGCTGAACTCCAGCCAAAAGAGTCAACGCTGTGAGAGCCAGAGATGTTTAACGAACTTCTATCAAGTTTCCATATATATATTTTAATTTTTTCCTGTTTATTTCTGAGAAAAGGGTGAAATGTTTTGGTGTTTCCTTGACCTCTGGTAAAAATAAAAGAGGTCATTTCAGATTTCAAATGATGGCGTTTATAGCATGTTTAATCTATAATTAATAGTCAGGTGATCATATGGACACTAGCGGTGCTTCCATATAATTGTCATTTGAATTTCTTGGAATGTTGCAAAAAAAATTACAAGAAAATAAGAAAATGCAGCTCAGGCTATTTTACATAAACTTCTTTGGATGGAATTGACATCAGTGCTTTAAGCCATGTGGTGATAAACGGCAGCAGAAGCTGGACACAAACTGGAAACCAAATCAGTTGTCACTAAAAACTATCAAAGAAAAGAAAGAAAGACACAGAGGGAGGTCTTACGGGACTTTGAACACGTGATAAAAGCTTCTCTGAGTACAAATAAATGAATAAATACTAAAACAAAATAATGTGTAGCAGTAAAAAGATGCCTTTTGGTCATACCAGATGATCAGTGTTATACAGGTTCACCTGTCAGGAGGCTGATCAGTGGGAAAAGGAGAAAAAATCCTTTATTTTTTGCTGATACAAGCAAGGTTAAAACCCACAAAGCTGATTTATAGGTCAGGTCCTGCAGATGTTTGTTCCTTTTTCAAACGGAAAAGGAAACACAAGAAGATAAAGAGGCAAATAACAGCCAGATAAGGAAGTCTTTAATGAGAGAACAGGAAAAAAAAGATTAAAGAGGATACAAAAAGCTGCAGTTCTTCAATTTTTCCTTTATCTAATATGCAAAGTGCAAACACAGGTTCTAGCTTCTTACTTCAATCACTGATGGCAGGAAACTATGACGCGTTAAATACCAGATAAATAGGACAAGCTGTTCTGCAAAGCAGAAAATTCATCATTGTGGGTTCTGTGACCTTGTTTGGCTTCATCTGACCTCAAGTGGTTGAATTCTAAAAATGAGTTCAAGTACTTAGAATTTCTTGAGCGATTGCACAAATAGATGTTACCTGATGCTGCATTGGCAGATCTTTGTATTTTTTTAACTTCACAAGAAAGTCAAAGGTAACAGCATCATACGGGCCATAAAGCTAAACCACTTTCTGAACCATGAAATGTTTTATTCAGGCTCTGATGCCATTTGTCCTGTTAGAAAGTGTATTTAGAGAGTTCACATGTTTTAACAGTAAAATAAAGAGTAGACTTAGCACACTGATCTGTGCAATAAAAAGGAACGGAAAAAGGGAAATAAACCCTTCTGAGCTCATACGATTATGATACAAGACAGTCACAGGGATTAATTTAAGCTCCTTGATTGCAGCATTTCCGAAATTTCCTGCAACAATGTCCATTTCTTTTCCTAAAATAGTAGTGTCGCGATTTAATGCTCATAAAGTATGAGGGCATTTGTAAAATACTTGCCAAAGCTAAAGCTGGGGGGCTGAAATATTCTTTGCTTTTAGATCCACTACATCCTACATTTACCAAAATGCAGCCAATTGCCCTCCTCAGGTTTGTAATGTAGATTTTCTCTCGTAAATGTTTGATTACCTTGGTGATCTCATCAAGAGGTGATGTCAACGCAGTGAGGTGACGTTATGTGCCCAGACGTATAAACTCCAATCAGAAGACATAAAACAGCTGCTTTCACCGTCTGAGTTCACCTCATGACATGTTCAGTGACCCTCATGTGTGCAGTCAGCGGAGTTCCCCTTTAAGGGAGGCCTGGCTACGGGTGAGAGTGAGCTAATAGTAAAGACATTTTGAAATGATGGCTTGGGGGTGGGGGAATTCCAGAATCATTTATCTTTTCACCCCCAGGCTGTTTTCTAAAACTCCCACCCGAAAAGTAACATCATTGTAAAGCCAAACTGAACAAACTGAGCTTCATCATTCTGTTGTGCAGAATGGTCTGACTGCACTTCATTATCGTTTGTATCTCTTTAAACCAATCACACTCATTTTGGGCAAGTCAAGCGATGACTGCAGATTGCTGTATGACAAAACCAGAGTAATGGGTTAGCGAGGTATGTTGAGCTTAAAGTCAGAGTTTTCAGTATCACAATGGTGGCTCTTTTTTTACCTGCTAGATCTCCATGGTTACTGATGCGGTAGAGCTAGATCTCCATGATAACTGATGCTGTAGAGTTAGATCTCCATGGTAACTGATGCTTTAGAATTAGATCTCCATGGTAACTGATGCTGTGGAGCTAGCCTAGTCCAGGTTATGTTCAAAGTTTCTTTTACCAAATCATTTCCTGACTATTATTTATGAGCAATACAGATTCTCAGCTGAGGGAATGTGTTTTATCTGCAAACATGCCGAGTTGTGCGTTACTAATATCACTGAATGAAGCCGTGCAGTTACAATATTGCGTTACCATGGGAACCCGACATGTTTAGTTGGTGGTGCAGAAATCACAGAAACATGTTTTTATGTTTGGCTCTCATTTGCTGTCAAGTCAAGATTTTAATGCAAATCATGCAGGTCGGGGAGCGGCAGTGAGCAAGCCTTCAGATCAGTGTATGGGTGCGGCATCGCGCCCAGCTTCTCCCAGCGCTCCTCCTTGGGATCATAGCAGTGCACCCACTTGGAATCCGTCGCTGTGTTTGCCGAAAACCCTCCAACCACATACAACCGCCCATCCAGCACAGTCGCTCCAGGAGAAACGTGAGGCCGAGGAAGGGCGGGAAAAGAGGACCAAGAGTCACGTGTTGGGTCGTACAGCTCACACAGGAGCTGATCTCCAAAACCCATCCAGAGCGGCTGCAGGCCTCCAGCCACCACCAGCCTGCTCCCCAAAGCCAACATGACATGTCCTGCACGTCCGGCCCCTGCAGTCATGTCTGATCTGGGAAAACAGCCACGAGAAGGATGGTAGTTCCACATGGAGGGGAGGCAGTGGCGATGGGAGTCACAGCCTCCTGAGATGTAGATCTGTCCGTCCAGTACAGCTGCAGCATGACCACAGACTGCTGTGGCCAGGGGGTGAGCTGACCTGCAGGAGGAGAGAACATCACTGTTTAATTAACCTCTAGACTTTGTCTATTCTACAGATACAGAAGGTTTTTTTCATTTTGTTTTAAGGATAGTCTTCCTCTAACTTATTATTAACATGTTGTTTTGAAAATGACACATAATTTAACACATTCGTATGGTTTAGGATGATGTTATTGTGCAATGTGTTCTGCAGCTTTAAATGCATCTGAAAGCCTTACAAAGAATCCCCTGGTAGGAAGTTTAAAATGTAAAGCTTCAGTTTTTACTACAACCCATCACTTTGTAATTTATCAGAAACTGGAGTTTTACCAAAGAAATATAGCAACGAATGGTTTTATAGCCTAAATATTCTGTACACACAGTGTTTGTACTGCATTTTTAACTGTAACCCACTACAACAGCAATCATTTTAGTAGATTTTATGCCAATGAAGACGTAAAAGAGGCTGAATAATTTAACCTACTGCTGCATGTTGAATCTTCTACATCCAAGTCATGTCCAGGTTTACCAAATGTGTGCAAAAATGCAAAACTATATCTCAGACATTATTGCTTCTTCGTGTTTTCTGCACCTCCAGGTGTTTTCCTCTGGACTGTAATACTCCACAGCATCCAGGTTTCGGCTGTCGTCACGGTTGCCACCCAGAGCAAACACCTTCCCGTCCAGGCACACAACAGAGAAGTAGTCCCTCTGACATGACATGTCAGGCAGCTGTTCCCACCGACACAGCGTCAGGTCAAACCTACGGAGAGCAGGTTGCTTTCATTTATTGTCCTTTCAGGAATTCTCTGTCAGATAAATTCAACCACAACAGAAAATTGCAGTTTAACAATTTCAAGCAACACACACATCGTATCACCTGGATTTTATATAAAGTAAATTATGCTTTAATCAGAATGGCACATGCTTAAACTGGGAAGTGTCTTTGCTTGTTAGTTTTTGCTGAATTATATATAGTTCTACTTAAAATGTTCCCACAATATTCTAGCACTGTACAGAGCATGTGAAGAAATGTCTAACACACTGAACGATACATAGCACTCTGAAAATAATGAATAAATACAAGATATTAAATTGTTTTTGAAATGATTTATGATTTTATAGGTTTGATATGATGCACCAAAAATGAGCTCAATTTAATTCAGTTAAGTGTCAATTCACAAAACATGACATGTCAAAAAACTTCAGAAAATCAATAACAAAGCTTGCAACAAAGAAAGTTAAATTATTGTTAATTTTGTACTATTAAAAAAAACAAAACAAAACACTTGTCATGTTTCATAATAATTAGGGTCCGAGCACTAACGGTGCCAGGACCTTATTGAAACCCTTGTGATTATTAGGGTCCGAGCACCCAAAAGGGTGCGAAGACCCTATTGGAACTGCTCGGATTATTATTATTCGTGCCAAAGACACG